GTGGAAGATTACAGGCCAGTGCGTGGAAAGTCTTGTGGATCCATTGGTGGTAGAAGCATTTCAGCACTGGTGTGGGTCTCCATGTGGCTCCTCCAGCTTCTGGGTTCTGGTTCCATCAGTGTAGCTTTGTGTATTTTGTCAACAGGAAGATGAAACAGAGTGTGGGTCTGGCCTTCAGTGAGCTATTTATTCTCTATGGCCTCCAAATGAGGTCACCAAGATGCGACCTGATTGACAGGCTAAACTCCACCCCTTCACTTTTAATAGTCTCAAATTGACACCAGATTATGTAACTACCACACTGACGGGAAAAGATCCATCTTTGTATTCATTGCAAAGAAAGATGACCCTAGAGAATGAGGAAATTATCTAACAATAACATTAATATCATATACAAGTAAAAATTTGCTGAATATCATTTAACAACATTTATAGCAGCATAATAGGGGGCTTCCAGAAATCCCAACCTGATTCAGAAGAAGACATGGAACCAGGGATATAATTGCTGACACTGGAAGGATTTTTGCTCAAAGCAGAGACTACCAGAAAGATGTTTACTTGTGCTTTATTGACTATGCAAAGACTTTCCAACTAGCCCTTGAAAAAGCAGAGGGGCAATGAAAAAGAGGAAGACTTGTGTTTGTGCACATTATTACCTCTGCATGTCTATCTAAATAAGACAGGCGGGATACACAAGCCAGAGGAGAAAACAATGGGACAATAGTTCCAGAGGAACATGGGAGAGGGGGGAGCCGGGCAAAGGAAGTGGGTGTTAACAAACCGAAGGACAAGTGATCTAAAATCGATGGCGAGGAGGGTGTAGAAGGTCTGGCGTGATCATGGGCAATGTAACCAAGAGGAATTACTGAAACCCAAATGAAGACTGAACATGAGAGTGGGACAAGAGGAAAGTCAAAGGAAATAGAGGAGAGAACTAGGAGGCAAAGGGCATTTATAGAGGTTTAAATATAGGCATGCACATATGTAAATATATTTATATATAACAGATCTATGTACATATATTTATACATTTAGTATTAAGGAAGCAGATGGACATTGGGCCACTACTCAAGTACTCCCTCAACACAACAACACTTTGTTCTAATAATCCGGCATTCTGAGCTGCGTACCTTTCTGATACAATTGCTGAAGACAAATCGGTGCATTAACAAATGTGATGAAGAAAGCTGATGGTGCCTGGCTATCAAAAGATATAGTGTCTGGGGTCTTAAAGGCTTAAAGGTAAACAAGTGGCCATCTAGCTGAGAAGCAACAAAACCCACATGGAAGAAGCACACCACCCTGTGTGATCATGAGGTGTCGACAGGATCGGGTATCAGGCATCAAAGACTCAGAACAAAAACTCATGTCAATGTGTATGGGGGTGGGGGGAGAGTGGAATGGAGACCCAAAGCCAATCTGTAGGCAATTGGACATTCCATTACAGAAGTGTTGTGGGGAGAAGATGGGCCATTCAGGGTGCAGTATAGCACCAATGAAATATACAGCTTTCCTCTGGTTCTTTAATGCTTCCTCACCCCCACTATCATTACCCAAATTCTACATACAAATCTGGCTATACCAGAGCAGGTACATGGGTACAGATAAAAGGGAATACAGGACAGATAAACTCCTCAGGACCAATATCGAGAGTAGCGATACCAGGAAAGTAAGGGGAAAGTGGGGGGAGAAATGGAGAACCAATCACAATGACCTATTATAACCCCCTCCCAGGGGGATGGACAACAGATATGGGGGCAAAGGGAGACATTGAACAGTGAAAAACATGGAAAAATAATAATAATTTATAAATTATCAAGGGTTCACAAGGAAGGGAGGGGAAAAATGAGGAGCTGATACCAAGGGCTCAAGTAGTAAGAGAATGTTTTGAAAATGATGATGGCAACAAATGTACAAATATGTTTGACATACAATGGATGGATGTAGGGATTGTGATAAGATTTGTACGAGCCCCCAATAAAATGATTTATTAAAAAAGTAAATGAGGAAGAACCTCCAGGAGATGGATTGACACCGTGGATGCAACCGTGGACTCAAGCATACGAACCAGTGGGAGGCTGGTGCAGAACCGTGGCAGTTCCTTGTTGCACGTAAGACTTCTAGTCCGAATCAAATCAATAGCCACCTAACAACACTGTTCTTTGCTCTGAAACATGCTTTCTCTGATAACAAGACAGCCACGCCCGCGTTCTTTTGATTTGTGTTAGCATCTTTTCTGTTCTTTTCTTTTCCCTTATTGAATGTGCATGGCCTTTTATTTGGAGTATTTAGATCATTTACAAGTCATGTGATTATTAGGTGGTTGGATTTAAACCTATCACTTTTTGATTGGCTTTCTTTTTTTCTATGTTCTCTTATCCCTTCTTTTGAAATAATTTTGTATTTATATAGTATCTTTTTATCCTACTGAAACTTATTTTCTTTCTAGCTCTATCCGTTGTGCTTTTTGCTGTTTACTTTAGAATCTATAGTATAAATATTCAATTTATCACATTCTTCGTGTGAATATTATACCAATTCACATATACCTTACAACAACATGTTTCTATTTCTCTCTCCCAGGCAAACTACTGATCATCTCTGCACCTTAGTGATGATAATAGTGCTTATACAACAGTGGTATTGTTTTTTTGTTTTTTTTACAGTAGTGGTATTGTGATGATCGAATAGGTTAATATTTCTCTGTTGGCTAGAACACTACATAAATATTTGCCAGGTAAACAAAAAAATGCTCATATAAAATGATTTCCAAGATGTATTTCTAAATGAAATAATACACATAGTATCATGGTGACATTGTTGCTATTTTGTAAATTAGAAAGAGCAACACATACATGTGCAAACTATCTGGTATATACTTATAATATCTCTGTATGGAAAAATAAGGACCTGTTGATAAAAGTCATTGTCTCTGGATGAGTTTAGAGGCAGGAACTTTTGGAGAGACAACCTTTGTGCCTTTTTAATTTTACTACACTTGATCTTAGCCAAAAGGCCGAGAAGCGATGTCTTTTTAATTTTAAATCAGGGATTTCATATTTTTAAGAATAACACTAACACCAACAATAGGAAACATGGTACCATGAAAAAATATACATCATTCAATAGTGACTGAAGCAGCAGGCTATCTTTCAAAATGATATAGTTCTCCCTGCAAATGGACAATGAGAACACAAAAAGTCTGTGTCCGTGGGCTTTGTTGCTTTACACTTTTGAGTAGTTTCCAGGGATGAGGAGGATAATTGAGGATGCTGGAGAAGGTATCTGCTCCCATCAACAGTGCCAGCCAATGCATCTGAGGCCATCCGTTTCCAGTCAACCCTTGAGCACAGGTGAAGACAGCAGTAACTCTCCTCTCTCCAGAGAGTTGACGACCAACCTGCTCGGGCTGGCTCATCCCTCCTGGATTCAAGTTTGCCCCAACTCTTGTTGCAAGCAACTTCTTCAGCACTTCAGGGAGGTTGTTTAGTGTCCCCTTGGCCCAGAAGTTTCAGACCCTCTTAGGATATCCAAATTCAGATTTCCCAAGTCCTGCTGGCCTCACTCTCCTGAGACCACTGTGTTCCTTTGACACCACAGCGCGGAGAGAAGATCGCTAATGAGACTCCAGAGCTTTAGACCCAGCCATATCTTCTAAGTGGGTCCTGAGAAACCTATTATTGAAAGTCACTGGGGATAGAAGAGGAAGCGAGGTATGATAGAGTCCTTCTGGTCCTCATTTCCTACAAAATCCTCTACAATTTGCCCTGCAACTTTATTATTTTTCTTTACAGAGGAGTTGATATTTGCTCTGGGCCTTGAAGAATGACTATATTTCCAGGTGGGGAAAGGATATTCTGTTTTTGGAGACTTGTGTATCATGGCAGGGAGAAGTGGGGATCATGGACCATTCATACTGTGGAGCTCGTGAGGAAGCAGTGGGGAAGCGGGTGTTGGAGGGGAGACCAGAAAGCACAGTGTGTTCATATATGAATCCCAGTCAGTTCCTTTTCAACCTGGACTTGATCGCTTGCTCTCTCTCAGAAGTCATTGCCAAGACTTACCTTTCCTCCAGGACAGGAGGGTGGGCAGTGGGCTTTGCCTACCAAAATGCTGGGAGTGGAAGAGGGCTGGGATTTAGTGCCTGGTGGCTTTCAATCTGGATAGTGCCGTTCGCTGACTGTTGAGTGTCCTTTCTCCTCCAGAGAGGGCCAGTGAAGCAGCCATGGAAAATGGTTCCCAGGTACTGATTCCAAAGTTCCTGCTAGAATCCAACCAAAACTCCTATGAGGAATTTGGGAAGAAACTCTATGAGGATGAAATCCTAGGGCCAGAAACCTGGCAGGATGCTTGGATCTGATGGAAAAAATGAACAGAGTCATCCTCTTCTCTTCCCTCCTCTTTTCTGTTTCTTCTTCTTGCTTCTACACACTCTCTGCCTCCTCTTCCTGCTTTCACCCTCTTTCTTCTTTTCTCACCCTCTCAGTTTTCTCACTCCCCCCTCTCTCTTTTTCTGTAGAGCAACCTAAAGCCTGCTCAGTCACGTGAGCCGGGGGTGCAATCTCAAAAGGCGCATGCCTTCCGTGTAAACTTGTCTGTCACTGGATCCTGGTCAGATACACCTCTACCTGCTCCTGGTTTTATGTCTCACCCTGGTTCTGCACCCCTCTCCATGTGTGCCCCAGAATCTGCTCCTTTCTCTTTCCTTCAGTCCCCTTCGACTTTTCCTTCATTTGAGTGGGGGAAAGACAAATTGACAAGAGAGATACAGAAAAGGGAGAGGTAAGAGCACAGACTTTGAAATCATTTGAGGACAAATCCTTGTTACTGGAGAAGCTCTGAGACCTTTCACAAGCCAATCTCTCTCGGCCTCTGTTTTAATACTAATAGTATTAATGCCACTTCCCAGTGATCTTACAAAGGTTAGATGATACTGTGCATGCAGAATGCTCAGAAATGCATTGCACGTTGTCAGGGATCAATAAATGGCACAGTAATAGTGATCATAGTGGTGGTAGTGGTTGCTATCTTCCTCCCATCCGTGTTCAGAGGCACCATGAGGATGTTGGCAATGAAGGGTTTTATGATTGAATTGTGTCTCCAAAAAACATGCGTTATAAATCCTAACCTCCACGCCTGTGGTCATAATCCCATTTGGGCATGGGTTGCCTTTGTTGTGTGTTCGTGGGACTGGCTTAGTGTAGCGTGTGTCTTCAGTCAATTCTTACAAAATGTAAATGTAAAAGGAGAATGGGAAGCAGAGATGGGGGCAGAGAGATGCCACGCCACATGAAGATTTCCCAGGAGCAGAAGCTCAAAGTGTCAAAGATCTTCTTTCCTCCAGAGAGAAACCTTTCTCTAAGTGCCGGCAGCCTGAATTCAGACCTGGAGCCGTCTAAACTGTGAGACAATAGATGCACTTGTTAAGTAAGGCCACCCCTTCATGGTATTTCCGATACATATAGCAGTTCTAGACAGCTAAGACAAAAGGTAAGTTGGAAGCACTGTCAATCTCTATGGGCAATTGTCCAGGGCCTCAGAGGAAGAGGTAGGGGTAAGGAATGGGTTGGGAAACATAAAGACACCCCAGGCCTTGGAATCAGAAAGACTATTACAGGAAGCACTGGTCTATTGCATGCCTCTACCTCCCAGACCCATGCATTCGTCTCCTTCTCCGGTATCCCCTGACTACGCAATCGCTCCAGATAATATGCTACCCAGAGATGCCAGTTGGGATAGAACTTAATGGGTAGATGGGAGGCAGGGGGGAAAGAGAGTAACTAAGCCTACCTTGCTGTTTTGGCATTTTTCACTCAATCGTGCTTCCTGTACGTAGGGACCACTATGTCAGATGCTTTCCATACATCATTACTATCAACCATTGAGACAATCTTAGGGGACTGCCTATGCTGCTGCTGCTGGAGCAGGTTTGAAACTCCCTCTAAGCTCACACAGTGGATAAGTCAAAGAGCTGAGAGTTAGGCCCAGGTGTGTGTGAATCCCAAGTCCCTGTTTGTTTCACTGCACCCTACGGGCTCCAAGAGCATCAACAGCAAAATGTGCCCCTGCTCTCAGATGACTGGAAAACCATCAAGGAGTACAGATGGGAAATCAGAGACCCAGAGAGAAAATATGACCCAGACAACATCACATGCATATCAGAGGCCGCCAAGACTAGAAATCAAACCCAACTCCAGCTCTCCAACTTGCCTGTGATGTGAGGCTACCCCAGAATTGATTGAGGAGGCCGAATGCACTATAACACTGGCGCACACATGTGAAAATGGACATGGACACTACATAAGTCCATTGTTAAAGCTCCACAGAATTTTGGTATGTGCTTTGGCACTTCTGTGATCTCTAGAATGATAGCAACTAAATTATGCCTAAGGGCCGTGGTGGTTCCATTGCCTTCCGTGCAGAAAATCCTAGACCTAATCCTCAGTCAATGCACCTCAGGTGTGGCCACCCCCTCTCAGTGAAGGCTGTGTGTCACTCTCATGCTGAGAGGGTTTTAGTTTTCTACACTAGGACGATCTGAAGATCATCCGTGTGAACCCTATGGATCACAAGGGTTCAAGTCACAACCGGTCACTGGGATGGTTTGGGACCAGGCAGGGCTTTGGTCCAATGTGCTTAATGTCTCCATGAGCTGAGTCTGAGTTGAAGGCAACTAATAACCAACAATCATGTTGTTGTCTAATCTATTAGCTGACTTCATATTGAACTAATTGCTCCTAGCTTCCCTACGGGCCTTTGAAACATCACAATAGCTCTTCTAAAATTAACACTTTGCCTGGGAATAAAAGCAAAACCACAGCACAAGTTTTGATAGAACTATAAAAGATCAGAACTGGAAGAAATCTTAAAGGTCATCTGATCCAACAGTCTCATTTTACAAGTGAGGAAACTGAGTCTCTAATACATAGTGGTGAGCTCACCATCACACAGTAGATGCTGGAAGATGGATTTTGTGGTTTTTAATGCAGTGGTGGTCGATCCATGTGTTATAAAAAATGACCCCCATGCATTCCCAGCCCCCAGGGAGGAGAGGAGGTCTTAGCCAAATATTAAGAAACCATGAAGATCATCAGGTTTGGTGGACATTGGTGGACAGTAGTCATGGTAGGTATGTAAGTGCTTTGGACTAGTGATTTGACCTAGACAGGGAAGACTTCTTAAGGAAGGTGAGCTTGAGTTGGGTTTCGAAGAAGCAATGCTTTAGGGAGTAGAGTGTATGAAGAAGAAAATAAGGAGAATAATCTGAGAGTCGAATGAGTCCGAGAGGATGGAGACAATGGACCTGTGATGGCTGGCTGGGGAGATTTGTCTGATTCTAGTAGTTTTGGGAAAGGCTATTGACCCCAAAGAGAGCTGATTGTATGTCCCAATTGAGGCTGATGATAACATTTATGATAAATGCCAAGGGTCATTTTGGGAAGAGGCCACCAGAAGTCAGGGCATTTGATTGTAGTCGAGAGAGAAAAAGAGTGAGGTTTCTGGATCTCTGCAGTTTGGAGATCAGAAACTCAGGTTAGGGACACTAATAGAGATACTGAGAAGAGACACAAATTTGCGATAAGTGAGGCTTTCTGAGCCCAGTCCTTCAGATACAATCTTCCATAAACGACAGAGATAAATATGATTCTGATCTTTTCTTCCAGGAAACCAAGTTTAGTGTAGTTGCTATACCAATCACGGAAGAAGAGGCTGACATCAAACAGACATGGGAGACAAGAGTCTTTACCTAGGCATGGCACCTGAGTTCAGCCTTAAAGGATGAGTAGCTACTGTGGAGCTGTCAGGAAATGGGGGTATCACATCCAGGGTTGGAGTCAGCCACTCCAGCTGAAGTATGTGCTCCACATGAGATGATTCTGGAAAGGTAGAAGATAATCATCATGAGGGACCTTGGATTTCATGCTAAAGAATTTGGACTTCATTCTAAAGGTAAAGAAGGAATATTTAGCTCCTCAAGAAGTTATGCATTGAGTGATCATGAGCCTTCATTTCATCTCTGGGTCTGTTTGAAGATAAGGCAAAGTGAGTAGGGAGTCAAGCAAATACTTGAACAGAAGTGCCCGTTGCACTATTGCAGCCGGGAGATGGAAACAAGCCAAGAGTTCATCAACAAATGAATGGATAAACTAAATGTTGTCTCTATCTATACCATGTCTTTATTACGAAATAAAGTTCTGATACATATTATGACATGTGAAATGTTAAGCTAAAGGAATCAGACACAAAAGGACAAATCCTGTATGATTCCATTTATGTGAACTATCTAGAACAGGCAAAGGTGTAGAGGCAGAAAGTAGATGGGAGGTGACCCAGGGGCTGGGGAGATGGCACTGAAGTTATCACTAATGTGTATTGAGTTTGCGTTTGTGATGGTGAAAAGTTTGGGAAGTAAATAGTGGTGAAGGTTGGGGGAGAATAAGGGAAATTTAAGCTAAAAAAGTTTAGAAAGGTCATTCCAGTTGGTGGTTAAGAAAGAGAAACTGGGAGGAGGTGGGCAGGATGCAGGAGGACGAAGTCGAATCTGTTGGAATCATGGAGAAATGAGAACACCAGGGTCAGTGCCAGTGAGGAGAAGAAGGACAAACACTCGTGGGATATGAGGCATATGTAATGGGACATAATGCCCAGTGTGCTTGGAGGCAAGGGAGAAGCAACTAAGCCAGGGACTTCCTGGTCTCTAACTTTGCCACTGGGCTAACTCCATTCACAGAAAGAGAGCTGTTGGGTTAGAAACCCCGAATTCTGTTTGGACAGGTTGAACTGAACATTGGTGGAATGCGTTGGTGGAAATGTTCAGGAAGCTGTTGGGTGCATGGGTCTTGAGCGAAGAGGAAAGAAACGCAGCACAAAGATGTTCAAGTGCCCTGCTGCTGATCAATGGTTGGCGAGTGAAACCCAGAGTGGCTCTGTGGGAGAAAGACCGAGTTATCTGATCCTGTAATGATGGCCTTGGAAACCCTATGTGGTATTTCTACTCCGTCACGTGGGGGTCATCATTAGTCGGAGCTGATTCAATGACGCCTAACAGGAAGCTAACGAGGAGCTGAATGTGGAGATTGATTTAGGCACGCTCCGCACCTTAGGTCATGCAAGTGGATGCTGCCACTCATGAAGATAACTCTTCATCATTGGGTGGCCATTCTCCATGGAGAGAGGTGGACCATCTTCGCTGGTATGCTTCCCCCCCTAATTGTCACCCTATCACTGGATAAGAGAGAGATGACAGGTCCAGGATGACCATGAAGTAGATCAGAAGCCAGCTGAGAGGATGAAATGGAAAGAAATCAATAAAACCCAAAGCAAAGGCTGGGGAGGATGAGATGAGCCAGACCGGTGATCTGTCTGCAGAGAGCTCCCCTAGGAGGGCAGGTGTACAATCCCCTTCACTCTCCAGGTTTTGTTTGCAGGACCCACCATCTCTCGCCATCAGCACAGCTGGTCCGCTGATCTTCAGCCCCTCATCCTCATCCTCATCAACTCAGAAGCAGGATGTCTGAGCCTCTAGGTATGGATGCTATAGGACAGAGAATGCCAGAGAGAAGTGACATTTGAGTGGACAGGGCTGGGAAGGTGACATGTGGGGGCCTGGAAGCAGATAGGGCTGGGAGGACACAGGAAGAGTGAGCAGTGGGTAGGCCACCTGGATTTCTGGAGGGCGTGGATGATGGAAAGTTCTAGATTGGGTGAGTAGCGAAGCAGGGAAAACAAGAGAGGGATCAGAGCAGCCGGCCGTAGTGTTCCTGGATCTTGGAAAAATAAGGAACTCACTAAGACGACCCGTTTTTCCGGGTCTCATAAGTCTTCCACCTTTGACAAGGGATACATAGGTCACTCTTCTCTCACTTGTTTGGGGGCGGGGGGGAGGGGGCAAGACTGAGTGTCCCTTCCTGGCAGGTTTTGGCTTTGGTAGATTTTACTGTATTTTGTCCAAGGGCCATGTCTCTGTGACTGTCCTCTCCTGCCCGTGCTCCTCTCCCCGCCCCAACTCTCCCCGCAGATGCCAACACGAGCTATTGGCCCGAGTGGAACTGGACAAGCCCGCAGGAATTCATCATCCTGGGTTTCTCAGGGTGGCCCCAGGGCCTCCGGGTGCTCTTGTTTGCCTTCCTTCTCCCTGTCTATCTGGCCACACTGGCAGGAAACCTGCTCATCCTGGCCCTGGCCGTCGTGGACCCTGCCCTGCATACCCCCATGTACTTCTTCCTGGGTGCACTGTCAGCCGTCGAGGTGGCCTACACCCTGGTGCTGACCCCCCGCATGCTGGCTGGCTTCCTCCTACCTCCAGGGGGCCAGGCTGTGGCTGCCTCCACTTGTGCTGCCCAGATGGGCCTCTTCGTGGCCCTGGGGGGCTCCGAGTGCCTGCTGTTAGCAGCCATGGCCTTGGACCGCTACCTGGCCATCTGTCGGCCTCTCTACTATCCTCAGCTCATGACCTCTGGGCTCTGCTGGTGCCTGCTGGCCTCCTGCTGTGCTGGCGGCTCTGTCCTGGCCTTAGGCCTCACCACTGCCATATTCCAGCTGCCTTTCTGCCAAGGCGGACTGGTCAACCACGTCTTCTGTGACCTGCCGGCAGTGCTGGTGCTGGCCTGTGGGAACCGAGACCTGCAGGAAAATGTGCTCCTGGCCGCCTGCCTGCTGCTGCTGGTGCTGCCTCTGGCCTTGATCCTGCTATCCTACACCAGAGTGTTGGTGGTCATCCTGGGTGTGGGTGGGGCTGCAGGACGCCGCAAGGCCTTCAACACTGTGGCGTCCCATCTGACGGTTGCCGTGCTCCACTACGGCTGCGCCACGGCCATGTACGCCCGTCCGCTCCGCAGCCGTTCCCTGGAGGAGGACAAGCTGGTCTCGCTCATCTACATCAACCTCACGCCTCTACTCTACCCAGCTATCTACACGCTGAGGAACCGCGACATGCAGGGTGCCCTGCAGCGCATGGTCTGCCCGAGGGCACCAGGCAGCACCCAGCAAGCTGAGCTCACCTGACATCACACAGCAGATGATGTCTGTCCTAAGAGGTCCCCTACCAATGGAAATCTCTCCATCACAGAGCCACTCGTGCCTCCCCAAGGCCTACTGGGCATCAATATCAGGGTGGCACGTTGTGTGGTTAAGCTGCCATCACGTGGAGGCAAACTCACGGCAACCTTATGTCAACATAACCAAATATTGCCTGGCCGTGTGGCGTCTTCACCATCGCCAGCATATTTGAGTCCATCTTTGTGGCTATTGTCCTAATCCAGCTCACCAAGGGCCCTCTATCTCACCAAACATGCTGTCCTGCTCTCGTGACTGGTCCCTCCAGATGGCCGGTTCAAGGGAACTGGACAATGTTCTGTTTTGATACATAAGGTTTTCACTGATTACTATTTGGAAGTAGGTCATCAGGCTTTTCTTCCTCATCTGTTAGCCCGGAAGGTCCATTGAACTCTCCACCATGGGTGACTCTGATGGTATACGAGATACTGGTAGTATAGGTTCCAGGACACAGCAACATGCAAGGTGGCCACCACAGTACTACAGATCGGCCTGTGGGTGGTGGATGGCATACCCAACCACACCCCTGGCCATTGAGTCGACTCTGACTTACAGTGGCCCCAGTGACGTAGCAGAACTGCTCCATTGGGTTTCTAAGACAGAAAGCCTTATGGGAGCAGACAACGTCATCTTTCTCGGTTGGAACTACTGGTAGGTTTGAGCCACCAAGACCGTGGTGAGCAGCCCAACACAGCCCAATATGATGCAAGGGCTCCTCGAGAGGTGTACGAGGACCTCTAAAGTCACACTCCTAACGTCACACTCCAGCTTAGTTCTTTGACTCCTGCTGATATATTTGAACCGAATATTTCTATGTTGTTGAGGGAACTGGCTTGGACTTGGTAGGGTGTTTAGCATCACCTCTGGTGTCTACCGACCAAACACCACTATCTCTTGTGAAAATAATAAATGTCGTCAGGCATTGCCAAATATCCTCCAAGGAGAAAAAGCACTCTTGGTTGAGAACCACTGCTCTAACCTACAGCCATATGGTATCTTGAACAGAGAACTTAGTTCTGATGTACAAGAAGTTGATCGCAGCATCAGTTGTAATAGACAAAACCAAACGACCTTAGTGTTCATCAATAGAGACTAGAGTTAAGCAACCTGTGGCACACTCATGCAACGAAACACTACACGTCTATGAAAAATAATTAACTCGTGCTACTGGCAAAAATGTTGGGCAGTGAAGATGTAATATTGAGTATAAACATAAAGATAGAAAGAATTTATCCAGTATGGTTTCATTTAAATAAAGGCTCATGACCAACCATGCTATGGGGTTAGTAGAACAGTAACAGTTACCTGGGGAAAAGGATTTAGATTGGAAGAGGGCAAAAGGAAAAGTGTTTGAACACTGGGAAGGTTCTAGGTCCTTGATTCAGGTGGCCATGACATAGTGAGATGCTGTTGTTAAGTGCCTTCAAATCGGTTTCAACTCATAGTGGCTCCAGGTAACAGAGAGGAGCTACACCACAGGACTTTCTAGGCTGTAATCTTTACAGGACGGTGCCTTGGTGGTGCAGGGATGAAGTGTTTGGCTGTTAAAGCAAAAGTTGGCAGTTCAAGCCCACCAGCACCACCTTGGGGGAAAGACGAGGCCATCGGTTTCCATAAAGATGGGAAACCCTTCAGAGCAGCTTCAGTCTCTTCTACAGCACTGCTGTTTGTTGGAATCACCTCCATGGGTTTGAGTTCAGTTTCATCTTTATAGGAGTTGATCCCTTGGAGTTACTGGATGTGCAAAATATTCTCATGATGCACATGCATGATGTGCACTTTATTGCATGTAAAATAAGCCGCAAGTAATGCACGCTAGTCACAGAATAAAACAAACTTCTATATGTTTTCATGCGATTGCTCATGCTGCTTAGTCTCTCTCAAAAGTCCCTTGAATTGTTTCAGGATCTGTCCAAACACCATCATCTCTGTGAAGCCCTCAGGTGTACCCACCTCCTCCCCCTTCATTAAAAAAAA